TCTTCTCCCTTTTTTCAGAAGAATGCTGGCCCCACCTGGTATTCTGTGACATTTAGTAATGAGGAGAGGAATCAGACCACTCATGAATGCATGGTTTTCATTGACAGGCCTGATCAACGGCCCAAGCACACATTCCCAAATGGGACCCTCCCCAAAGGGCAGCATCCTGGAGAGTGGTTCAGTCACCTCCCACGACCAACCCCTACCTCCTTTGCCTTCCAAGGCCCCTGGGATTTCAAGAGAATAGCTTTTTTCTCCATCTTATTACATCAGTACCCCTTGGCTTATATACATGGAAACTCTGGAGAATTCTGAGCATTTCTGATCATATTTTATGATCTGTTATTGACAGTTTCTTTTAACAAGTTCAAAACTTTCTTCAAATAATTTACCAAAATGATGAATTTATATGCATCTAGAAACCAAGCAATACACTTCTGCTACTTTTAATTAGGGTCTGCACGTTTTCAACATACACATTAAATTTAAAAATACAGGACTCTTTTAAAAGTGTCAGCATTCATTTTCTTTTTCTGTTGTTTTGGGGGGGTTTGGGGAGGGGGAAATAATTAGGTTTGTTTGTTTGTTTGTTTAATGGAGGTACTGGGGTTGAATTCAGGACTCCATGCATGCTAAGCCGCACTCTACCACTGAGCTATACCCTCCCCTCCGTTTTCCTCTACTTTTGTTTTTCCTGTTGCCTCTGTTTTGGAGTAAGTTGTAACTCAGCAAATGGGCAGAGGGTCGGGAAAAACTTAGCACTGTTCCTGTAACTCACACATCCTTCCAGTTTTGAGCACAATGTCTGACTTGAGTCAATACCATAGTTTAAAATGAGACACGACCCCTTGCCACAGCACACGGGTAGTGGGGAGTCCACATTCCCTACGCTGACGTAAGACATGCATGCCACTAGGGTCGACCTCTCCTGCTTCATCTTTTCTGTCATCTGGTCTCTTCCAATTAATTCCAGCATTAATGTTGCCAAGTTGGAAGGTTCTAAGTGTGTCTCTGGTCACAAGACAGGATGAGGCTCCCATGCTGCCTTCTTAGTATTTTCCGTAGCCTCAAATGTTAGAACGCAAGCACTACGAATTCTAGTATAATAGTTTCCCACTAAATTTCAGCAAAAGATCATAAAGTTCTCAATTATTTTCAACAGGAGGGCTTTATAGTTATAATATAATTTTGATCAGTAAGACCCTAGCTGTCCAGAAACCTCAGGTGCTCTGTTACCCTGCATAAACACAGTTTTTCCTTTAAGCATCATGCTGAAAAAAGTCATTTGGGGTATACTTTAAATTCTCATGCCTTTTCACACTGGACACACAAACTGTCATTTAAACTCCTCTTGATGCATACAGGTCATTGTGAGCATCAGTTATTACGCTACAAAACAGTTCTGAAGACCCATCAAAATACATAAAATTTCCTTGAACTGCTTACATTAAATACTTATAATCTCAGGGGGTAGGGGGTTATTGCTCAGTGGTAGAGCACATGCTTGGTATGCATGAGGTCCTGGGTTCAATCCCCAGTGCCTTCACTAAAGGGAAAAAAATGAAATTAAAAAAACAGCCTCCACAGACACAGAAAATAAACTTATGATTTTCAGTGGGGTAAAGGGGGTGGGAAGGGATAAATTGGGAGTTTAAGAAGTGCAATACTAACTACTAAATATAAAATACGACAAAAAATAAGTTTATACTGTATAGCACAGGGAACTACAGTCAATATCTTGCAGTAACCTATAATGAAAAAGAATATGAAAAGGAATATATGTATGTATATGTATGGCTGAAATATTATACTGTACACCAGAAACTGACACAACATTGTAGACTGACTCTACTTCAATAAAAAAAAAAGGTGGGGGGAAGTCTCAAAATTCTATGCTTTGAATTCCTGTGCCTTTCAAATTTTATTTTAAATTTTTTTACTATGTCTCTTTCTTACATTACTAGTGCTTCTTACTGATACTTTACAACAAAACTCTAAGAACCCTTGTACACGACTTTGTCAATCTCTTCCAATTTGCTGGGCGTATCTGGCAAACTAACAACCAAGCCTCTTAAACTCTGTATCAATGAAGAGTCCTGACAGAGGTTATGAAATTTTCCACAGTGAAATTTTCCAATGATCATGATACCCGAACTGAGCTCATGGACTTATGGCATCTCTCTTGCTTGACCACTTAGATCCAAACTGTAAAAGTGACACTGTGTAAACGTGCATTCCAGACTGTTATGGTGTCATCCTGAGACTCTGCAGCCACAGACCACATGTTACTTTTGGGTCCACCTCATATTCTTCTCAAGACACTTCGGTGGGTTTCGTAAGGCTATGATGGTGATACCCACTTTATAGATGAAGAACAACATTGGTCACGGGCTTTGGCCAAGTCTGGCCTGAAACAACTGCTGCCTGCCCTGCCTGCCCAGGACATCTGTAGACTCGTAAATATGCTTTGATCCCACCAGAAACAGAATGAAGAACAGCCTGTCTGGGCCTCCTTGATGGGCAGCTTAGAGAAAAGAACCTGAAAGGTATCAGGAAACTCAGAGCAGGAAGTGAGAGAAAAGTTAAAAGCTATCCAGTTGTCACACAGCTTTCTTAACGTTATCTTTCATCAAGTCGGGGCCCGAAATCGGCCAGGACTTCAAACTAAATGCATCTTCTTCCTGCCTGTACTTTTCACACACTAAGTGACTCAGTGGCTCACTTGGCAAGAGCCCAAAGGCAGTACACGCAGCTCTACTCCAAGGAGGGTGGCTGCCACTGAGACACAGATGGCGGAGACAGTTCAACAACAGTGCCATGGGAGCACATCTTCATCCACTGCCGTGGCGCACACGTTTGTAGCTGGCCCTCAGAGCAGATCCAATGAAGTGATGAGGACAATAAGCCATCTTACCCTAGAGGGGCCAGATTCCCTGTGAAATTAACAAGTCTGCCCCAGAGCCCTAGGCTGAGGCATCCAGGGGTGAGATATAGGGGCCCCACGCAACAGTCCTGTGTCCTGTGGGTGCCTTACTTAACTAAACAGACAGACTGGGGAGGAAGGAGAGAGAGCTAAGCATCACATACACCTTTCCCCCTCTGCCTGCAGATATCTCCGTGGGACAGCTGTTCTCTTACCTTGCAAAGAAAAAAAAATCCCACAATATTTTAATACAAGAATATACAGGGCCTGCAGCATCTGCAAGTCATCACAGCTTTAAAGAGCATATGTCAAGCAGCTCAGCCAGCATCTGGGCTCTGCTTTTCAGCCCCACAGTGCAGTCCAAGCCCAGAGCAAAACTGAAACCCTAAGCTTGGCAGAAACTCTTCCCCTCAGCAGGAAGCGTGAAGAATGGCTGGGACCTAAAACAAGTGAACCTAGCATTCACCCTGGATTCGGGATTCGTGTTCTGCATTGAGTTAGGGACCCAGGGGTCCTGCACAGGGGATTCCAACCTTCTCAAGAGGTGCGCAATGATCAGATGAAAGTTCAGACAAGCAATGATTGGCTGAAAGGGATGTGGGAGGGTCTTCAGATCAACACCAACCCAAAGTCAATTCCACTTTGACCCCAGTGGACACATGATCTTTGCCCCTGAGTTCTTCACCTAAATTGCTCAAATCATTCCCCCTCTTCCCCACTCTCCCGACCCCCCAGGATAGTTACATAAAAATATCTTAAACGTGGGACCCAACTTCTTCCATCCCCGGAGGACTGGGGAGCTGCCAGGGCACACGGTCTGATCATTAGTTGAAGTTACATAATCACACAAACAAGGGCTAGAGAACGCTCCTCGGTGGAGATCAATTCAGCACACACCTCAGGCTCCCCCTCTTCCCCTCTCCCGACATCCAGAAAGCAAGCCAGTCTCAACACAACAGAAGCATACGACATGGCTGGGGGGCGCAGGGGGTCAGCCGGCTTCTGTGGCTACAATGTCAAGGGCTGCCAGAAACTTCAGGTGCGCAGCAGAAAGAGGGCCAAGGTGCTGCTCGCCCAGAGACCAAAGCCCACAGACCCTCCTGCCTGCATCCACTGCCCCCAAAGTTCAAGGGTGGGCAGGCGGGGCCACAGAAGTCGTCTCCACCTGCGACGCAGTAAACCAAAGCAGCGGCAGTCAACCAAACCAACGCCTGGCCTCCAACTGCCTCTCCACCACTTCTGTCCAGGTCTCCGCGGGTTCAGGCTGTCGGCCACGCTCAGGAGTCCTCAGGCAGCCCGTATAATCTCAGCAGGGGCCACTCAGCACCGGCAGTGTTTCTAATTTTAAAGGATGGTAAAATGTGGGGCACAACTGGGGAAAGGGGGCACCGGCTTTGCCAGCCTTTAAGGCAAGAATTCCCAACAGGAGTTTGGGTTGGGCTTGGTTTTCCTTGGGGGTTGGGGGCAAGGTTGTGCTTTTGCTTCGGTAACATCTTGGCAGGGTGGTGGTTGGGGGGGCGGCGAGGGTTACGGGGAGAAGGGGCAGATCCCTCTGCCTGGGCACCCGACATCTCCAGATCTCATTTTCGGCAACAGAGACGGCTCAGACGGGACCTGAACAATCCCGGAGCCACAGCCAGGGGCAGCGGAAGAAACTGAGGTGCGGTGGGGGGCGAGGTATCAGCCCGACCGCTGAGGCTCAGCAGAGAGAGCAGGTTGCCAGCGCGCGGGTGCCGAGCCGGGCTGCCGCGGAGCGGGGAGCGCGCGGCGCGCACAGGGATTACAGCCGCCGCCGCCGCCGCCGTGATTGACGCGCGGGGGTCACTTGAGGCTCGCGCCGCTCCCCCGGCACCGGGGCCGGGCAGCCCGCTCTGCCCACCGAGGGCGCCGCACGCCTGCGGCCGCCCACCCGGCCGGCCCCTGCGCCTCCGCTACCGGACGCCTCGCCCAAGAAAGGCCACGACAACACGGAATCGCTCGCTATTTCACTTCGCCGAGGCAGCCGCCGGCAAAAACACGATAAATAAAATAAAGCGCAAGGCATCCATCCGCCGAATAAAAATCCAGAGTCCCCTACCTTCGGCCTTGGGATGGCAAACTGGTCCTGTGTTCTCTGACCCACGGATCCAGTCCCCTTCTTCAGGAATTATTCCGGTCAGTCAGGATTTTGTGCATTTTTTTCCTGAACACCTGTTTCAAGTAAGGGGTAAAGACCGTATTGAAAGAATTGTCCTTAAAAAATAACCTGTGCACACATATGTCCATGCAGGCATGCATGCGTGTTTGTATACACACATAGGCACACGAAATACACATGTACATTGAAGCACCAAACTAGGCAGTTGGATAATGGGAGAGTCGGCTGGTTGTGAGCATGCTCGCGCCGGGAACAGATCCACCCTCTGTTATTCCTCTGAATAAATATAAATCACGATCAGAAACCCAAACAGTAGCATCCCTCTTGAATTCCTGCTGCTGAAAAACACGGAATAAATTCAGCCCGCAGACATGGAATCTAATCAGCAGCTGTTTTCTGAAGCCAGAGACAACCCTGCCTCGCCTGCCTTTTCCACTACGAGTTCAGACCTTTTTTGAAAGGGGTTTTAACCTTTTAAAGATACAGTACACCAATTATCACTTCTGAATAGCTACCACTCCAAGTGTAGGAAGCCGGTCCCAAGCTGAAAGCCACAGGGCAGGATTGCACGCAGAGATAATGATTTCATTCAGCGGTGCCTTTTAACAAAAGTGTGTGTGTGTATGTGTATATATATATATATATATAAAGAGAGGGAGGGAGAGAGTGCCCAAACGCAAGGCATAAAACTAGACACATATTTATTACAGTGATGAGTTCCTCAGTGACTAATCAGCATGTTATGTAAACACTACCATCCTTCACTTCTGAACACATATGTTCACAGGGTCAGACAATGCAAGGGTGCTTGTCAGCATGGGTGTCACCACTCAGGAGCCCCTGACTGCTGATAAAAGGCCAGGAAGCCTGCCAGGGCAGCTGAAGGAGGCGGGGGTCTTGGCCACCTCTGTGTCAACCACAGGGCACTTCTGGCCCGGCCCTGCCCTGTAGCCTGCAGTGTCCTCAAACTCTGGTCCTCCTTCTAAACTATAATGTCATCTAGGGCCAGATCTCATTCCAAGACACATTGTGGTGTTTTGGGGTTTGTTTTTTTTTCCAACTAGAATCTGGAATCAAAACTACCACCTGAACCTTTAGAGTTTCTAAGACTCAGACTTAAGCCCTTTTTCAAGATTTGGTTAACGAGATGGGTTTTGTTTGGTTGTAGCTTTTGGATTTTGTT